AAGGGCAGGTGAAAGGCACCAAGAACACTGAGGACACTCACAGAGCCGACTGTCACACCACAGCCACAGCAGCAGCTGTCACCATGAAGCCCCCTCTGGTTGAGGTCCAAATATCTTCATTGGAGCACCAAATTATCCCTATTTCTTCAAGACTGGGCTTCATCCACACGTTAGGTTCGAGCACTTTGTGCCTGTGCAGGAGAGCTGACAGAGCCAGTGCTCCCCACGTCCTGCTAAAGGAACTCTTTCTCCCAGAATTGCTCCCTAGACAGTTTTCCAAAAAACAGTTTGCTGAAGACAGAAGGAAAGCACAAGATTCAGACTAATAAAGACATCAAGAGCCCAGGTGGGGAAGATCTGCAACCACCTTCTCTGTCCCCCTCGTGTCCTTTGCCAGCCTAGTCCTGAGCTCAGAATTCACACATTAAAATGAGCGACAGCGATTCCAGGTGAGTCTCCAATGCCACCATTCCCACAACACCTTCTCCTGCAGAAACTGGCTCTGCTACTTCCATGTTTAAGTGCCAGCAGGCAGACCCCCAGCTGAAGGATGCTCTCCCTCCAGGGAAGGTGAGACACAGCAGGAGCCACTTAATCCTGCCACAGCAGGAGCAGGAGCTGCACTGCCTCAGTTATTGCTCCTGCTCATACATTTAACCTGCCCATTCTTATTCTGCTTGTAGGAGCAATCAGAAAATGAGTTCACATTTATCCCCACTGTGGCTGTGTTTGTTGGAATTGAAGCTGCTTGCAAAAGCATCAGATAAAGCTGTGGCTCTTCTCAGCATCTTTTGTTTGGCACCATCAGTCAGCACATGGAGGTGATGCTGCAGACATCACCTGGGAACCACTGAATTCACACAGACACAGCCCCCAGGTGTTCAGCTATTTACCTCAGTCTTGTTAGGGAGGAAAAAAAAACAAAACAAACAAACAAACAACCTGGCATTGTGTTTTCTATTTTAAAACCAGACTTTTTGGAACAAATAAAAAAAAAAGGACAGTTGGGCAACATCACCAGCCAAGTCTGTGGATGTTCAGTAAGGAAATCCTCTGCTGCAGGTGCAGAGATGCTGCTGGCACAGAGCTGGGCATCCTGCTGGGCACATCCTGCTGTGCAGCTCCAGCAGCAGAGGAGAAGCAAGAGCTCAGCAGGCCTTAAATCAATCAGGGACCTGCCCTGCAAAGGCAAGGCCAAGTCTTGCCTCGGAGGCTCCTCCCCGGCACAACTTGCTCTACATCAGGATTTGGCTGCAACACGTTTTCCTCAAGCCTTGCTTTAAAAAAAAATAAAATACCACGATTGTGAGGTGCCAGTGTGAGACCTGCAGGACCCACCTGCTTGGAAAGCAGCTCAGCAGGTCCCCCTCTCAGTAAGAGAGGGTCCATCCACTCTTCCACCTCCTCGTGTTGGACAATACAGGCAGCAGAACAAACAGCACTGTTTGTGTGCAACAGTGTCAGACATGAGCCAAAAACATGACTCACACTGCCCTTATAGCCCTTCCCAGGTTATCCAGGGCCATGCCAGGATAAGGAGGCAGCTGGTTCTCGGGGTGAGGTGAGCCCCAGGACACCTCCTGCCCAGGTGGCACAGCCCTGGGCACTGAGCAGCCAGCACTGCTTTAGGGTGGGCACACTTTAACACGGTCAGATTTTAAGACAAAAACCATTCTCATTTTATTCAAGACAATGAAGTCTCTACAGCACCCCCAGGATTTCACCTCTCTAACAAGGAGGACCTTGCTGGGAGCTCACACCAGCACAGACTGCAGGCAACACCCTTCTTCACATCCATGCTCCAGCATCATCTGCTCCATCCTGCACAATATCTGCCAGCTCGGGCTCTGCAGAACCAGCTCCTCTTGTTTGCCCACAGCCTGGCAAGCCCAGGATACTCCTCCTGATCGTTTTAAGCTGCAAGAAACATGAGAAGCCCCAAGAAAAGCTTTAGATTCACTATGTGCATGCAGGCTTGTCTCCTTGCAAGCCAAGGATTGCCTGAGACATGCCAAAGGAAACAGCCTTTGCTCACGGCTACAAGCCTTGGCTTTGATAGTTCCAGCATCTTAAATCTTAAAACCAGAACACAGACCAATGTTAATTCTGCAGAACACCCACCTAAGTCAATCTCTGCCCTGGTGTCATCTCAATTCTGCCTTTTATAAAGCACACACAATTAATTTTATATTGGAGATGGGGCCAGCAGACACCCGACCTTCTAATTAAACACACACTTTCAGGTTAGACCCTGCTGTGTGATGGTACTCACTTGGATTAAACAGGTACACCAGGACTGGTGGCAAAAATAAAAACAGCCCCAGTTCTCACAGCACAGGGGAAGGAAGAGCATTCTGTGCACAACAGCAAAATCAACTTAATCACAAATGACAACTTCTGAAAGCCTTTACTTTGGATTCATCCTTGGCATTTTTCTAGGCCAGCTTGAAAACAAAAGCTTTGTCCTCTTAAAATGCAATTGCCTGAGGCACCTCTAAAAAAAGTGACATAACTCAGGTTTGAAAAATGCCTCCTGGGTTTCAGATCCTCCTAAGAGCCTCTTTACTATTCAGCTTGATTCAGATTACCCAGATCAGCAGGAACTCTGCAGATTTAGCCCCAGCTACCAGCACAGGTATAAAAAGCACACATTTAGGATTATTTTTTAAAACTGTATGATTAAGGCTCTACAGTTACAAAAAAACCCCAACTTGTTATTGATCTGAATGGTTCCTCCCTCCCTTTTCTCCAGTAGGTTTATAAACACTCTCTGATGACAGTTTATTCTGAATTTCACTCCGTTCAGCTTGTTCAGATATTTTTTTCTAGCTTGTTTTTCTTGCTGGGTGTTTTCAACCTTTCCATCACAAACCTCAAGCTGTGAGAAGAATGAGTGACTTGTTTTGGAATCAAAACTTGAGCCTAAAATTTGATTCCTATTTCTTCTCCCCTCCACAAACCTACTTTATTTCAGTAATTCTGCAAGCAGTGACTTTGTGCTTCTGCAAATCCAGGAGCACAGCCCTGTGCCAGGCAAGGCAGTGACTTAATGGGAGGGGGCAAGGAAGGAAAAGCTGCAATTCTCCCAGACAGACACAGCTCCTTCCAGTGCCTGTAATTAACACCTTGGGTAACTCCACAGCACCTTCAGCATATCACAGGTTTTTATAGCCATAAGCCATTTTCTTTGGGCAGATGCAAGTTTACTTCTAGGTCTGAAAACTCCTTATTCAACCACCAATAAAGAACTCAAATCAAAAGAAGTTCTGCTGCTTTTATTGAATAATTTGGGACAAGGAGAGCTGAAAGCTCTCTCAGTGATGGGAACATGTTAAGAGTCTTCTTTTTCTGAATGATCAAGTCACATCACTTACTCCACATAAACTGTTCTCTGTCAAGAGCTTTAATCCTCCCTTTTCAATCCCTAAATAAAACATCCTCCCCAAACTCGCTGTCTGTTATCTGCCTTTTCTAAAGGAAGTGGTTCTTAAGAGACCCACCTTCGTCTGCTTGGCCATTCCCCTGAAATCTGTCAAGATAATATTGGAGATGGAAGTAAAACCCCAGCCATGCTCCAGGGAACAGTGAAGGAGTGTGGCTGCACACCCAGCCCTCCTGGAGGAAGGTTTCACACACGGCCAAGTGCTCCCTGAGAACAAGAGTCACAAAAAGACTTCCAGGAATGTGAGCAATAAACCTGGTGACAACTGTCACCAAGGGTCACACTGCTGTGGCTTAACTTGGGGTTTTCCTCATGGCACAGGCTCTTTACCTCCCCAAAACCAGCAGTTCTTCCCTTTACAGCCCATCAGTGCAGGCTCCTCATCTCGAGCTCTGCTTCGCTTGGAAACCAAGCTCCTTCCCTGTCCTTTAGAAGAAAATCATGTAAAGGGCCCAAATCCCAACAAACTGCAGAATAAAGGACAGGACAAAACGAAAGGAAAAGCACCATCTCCCCCCTAACTGCTTAAAGGGGACCAAGAGTGGAGGCTCCTGTGGAAGAGCACAGCCCTTCTCCTCACAGCAGGGACAACCAGGAGGGTCCTGTGACACAGTCCACCCCTTCCATACCGTGACAGCTCCTCTGATGACACAGCCAAAGAAAACAGGATCCGCCTGGGTGCTGAGATCCACAGCAAATGCCAGGCTGAAGGCTCGTGCTGCCCCTGCCAGCTCGGGGAGAGCCAGCAGTGCTGCCACCCCGGCTCCCTCAGTGCCCAGCCAGCGCTGGCACCAGCCATCGCTCACCCTGGTATTTACTGGCAGGGGAAAGACAACTATTTCCTTAATATGAAATAAGAGGGTCTTGTTTTTTCTGGCCTTAAAAGTAAGCCCAAGTCAGTTGTGCTGCTGTTGACTTCAGCCTCCTCAAAATCCCAAGCTCCCGGAGACCCGAGCGGTGACTGGAGCGTGGGAAGGCCCCGGAGCCACAGCTCAGCGTGGGCTGGTTCCCAGCTCAGCCCCACAGCCCAGCCCAGCCTTGCCCCACACCAAAAGCATCCAAAAATTATCCTCAGAAGTGGTGGAGTCACCATTCCTAGAGGGATTTAAAAGATGTGCAGATATGGCACTTGGGAATACTGGTTAGTGGTGAGCTTGGCAGTGCTGGGGGAACGACTGGACTCGGTGATCCTGGAGGACTTTTCCAACCCTAGTGATTCCAGGGCTCTGTGCTGAAGCACTGCAGCAACCAGGGTCGTTCCTGCAGGTGGGCTCTTGCTCTTCAGGAGCAAGTCAGGAAAACAAAGGTGCACATCCATGCTGTTCTCCATCCCGGCAGTTTCTGTCCCAGCCTTCTGGGCTGTCTAACAAGAGGAATCAGTCGTTGGACACCCTCCCAAAGGCACAGCCAAAGCTGACTCTTTCACATCCACCAAAGCCCTTCTGGCAGAGCCAGGACTAAGACCTGGAGTTTCACACATCACCTCAAATCCCAGAATCATTTAGGGTTGGAAAAGACCTCCCAGACCATCAAGTCCAACCTATGACAGAGTGCCCCCATGCTCACTAAGCCGCGCCGCCAAGTGTCACATCCACTCGTTTTTAACAATTCCAGGGACGGTGACTCCCAGGAGAGCCTGTTCCCAAACACGGATACCGACGGAAACCGGCAGCCTGAACATAATCCCGACAGGGAAGGCTCCGCAGGCTCCAGCACCGCTCGCAGGCTCCGCACGGACCCGCGGGGAGCGGGGTTAAGCCCGGGCACCACCCGCGCAGGTCGAGGCGGCTCATCCCGCCGCTCGGGCTCGACATCCCTCTGCAGCCGCTCCCGGCCCCTCTCGCCAGAGACCCGGAGCATCTCCGGGCGGCAGGAGACACAAAGTAAGTCTCGACCGCGGACATCCCTCCCCGGCACCGCCGCCACCAGCGTGCGGGACCCGCGGGGCTCAGCCCCGGAGCCGCCCCCGGCAGGACGGGACCCACCGGCAGCCGCTCCCGCGCCTTCCCCATCCCGCGGGCGCCGGCATCCCCACGCTCCTTCCCGCTTCCCGTTAAACGTGGGTCAGGATGGGGGGGAAAACCGAGCCGAACGCTAGAAAACCAGCGGAGGAAGAGAAAACTGAAAATCAAAATTAATTACTAACGCGGCGGTAATTCGCTGGCGGAGGCAGGGGGGACCCGCGCTGCCAGCGGGACCGCACGGCAAAGAGCGCGGGGGAGCACCGGGGGAAGGGGCAGAGCACTCACCGGGCGGGTCGGTGCCGGGATGCGGGGCGGGCGGTGCGGGGCTGCGGTGCGGGGCCGCCTGGCGGAGCGGACAGAGGGCCCGTCCCGTCCCGCGTCGCCCGCGGGAGCCGCCGGCTCAGTGCCGCGCACCGCCCCGCGCCGCGGCTCCTTCCCGCCGACCGTACCACGGCCCCGCGCCGGGGGGGACGCGGGGCGAGGGGGGAGAACACCCGGGCAGGCCCCGCCCGCCCGCCGTGCCCCCGCGGCGCGGCCCGCACCGAGCGGTCTTTGCGGGGCCGGGCGGGGCCGGGCGGCGCCGCCGGGGCTCGGCCGGGGGCAGCGCCGCGAGTCCGCCGGTGCCGATCCCTCCCGCTCGGCGGGCGGAGCGGTGGAAGAGTCCAGAGCGGGGCGGGGCCGGGCGGGGCCGGGGCGCGGGGATGCTCCGGGCGGCGGGTCCCGCTGCGGTCCCGGTGCGGGGCTGACGGCGGGGCCGGGCACGGCGGGGTCCGGTCCCGCGGCGCACCCCGGAGCTGCAGAGCAGCCGCTCGCGTTTTCCCTACCCCCGGTCCGCCGGCGCCGCAGCCGAAGTTCGCACCCGCAGCGTCCCCGCGGAGCCGAGCGGAGGTCTCGGTCCAGCCCCGGTGCTCTCGGTAACACAGCGATCCTCAGCTCGGCTGCTCCATTCTGCGCCCGCTCCTCCGCACTCACCGGGAAGAGAACGATTCTCTTGGGAATCTGATGTTTCCTGACCAAACTGAACGTGCGGCATTTCGTCATTCCATAAAGGCGTGGGAAGCCCGCGCTAAGAGCGCTGGCACCGGGGGGACGGGCACACGCCGAGGGGTTCAGGGAGTAGCGCAGGCACAGCATCAGTTGGAGGTGGCACACGGGTTCCAGAAGCTCCCGCGGGGCGTCCCGGCTCGCGGGAATGGTGTTCGGGTCACCGAGACATTTACTGCAAATAATTTTGTGCAACCGCTGTCTGCAGTGTGTCAGTGAAGAGCAGGAGCCCACCACCAGGAGTGACCCATCACAGTGTGCACAGGGTCATAAAATCATAGGATCACAGGATCAGTAAGGTTGGAAGAGCCCCATAATATCATTGAGTCCAACTGTTCCCCCACCACTAAGCCATGTCTCCAAGTGCCACATCCACACCTTTTAAATCTCTCCAGGGATGGTGACTCCAGCACTGCCCTGGGCAGCTGTGCCAACACTGGACAACCCTTTCCATGAAGAATTTTTTTTCCCCATTACAACATTTCTGGGATGAAAACCACAGCAGGGATGATCAACTGATAATCAAGGCAGAGACAAATCCCCCTTGAAGTTTTCCCCACTGATCCCAACTGAACTATGATGGTGTTTAAGTGCTCAGGTACACAAAACTCCCCAGCCTGGTGGTTGTTCCTGGTGAGACTGGTGGGAGTGATGAGGTGCTCAGAAGACACCTCTGAAGGTTGGGTTGGTCACTAGTAGGAGACTCCTTAGTGAGGTGAACTCTCTTGCCAACATCAAGACAGACCTAACTGTCTGTGGGCTCAAGGCAAGACCAGCATGAAGAATTAAGTGCGTTTTTCAGCTTAGTTTTTCTTGGGCAACTCATGGATTCCCACTGACAGGGCAGGATTAGAGGGGATATTGGGGAGAAATTCTTGGCTGTGAGGGTGGGGAGGCCCTGGCACAGGTTGCCCAGAGAAGCTGTGGCTGCCCCTGGATCCCTGGAAGTGTCCAAGGCCAGGTTGGACGGGGCTTGGAGCAACCTGGGCTAGTGGAAGGTGTCCCTGCCCATGGCAGGGGCTGGAATGAGATGATCTTTAAGGTCCCTTCCAACCCAAATCATTCCATGATTCTGTGATATCCCTTCCAAGCTTCAGTTTTCACCTTCAGAGAGGGCTTCCCATGGAAGGGTTGAGAGCCACAGCAGCTTCCCAGTGGAATGCATTGTTTTTCCATGAAATCCAAATACCCCAGTCTGACATGGGATGTTGTGCTGCCTCTCTCCTCAGAGAACAATGTCCACCTCAGGTTTGGCTTCCCATGGAAGATTCCCCCTCAGAGTGAGGGGAGACAGGGCATCACAGCAGTGCTGAGTTCAGGGTAGCAAAGTGCATATCCTGGGCAAGGCAGTCTCTGGTTCCCTTCCAGAAAGAGGATCAAGGGCCTCCAAATTCTAATTCCTATGGAGCTGTGCTACAGCATTTCAAAGTCATTTAGTGATTTTTTTTCCAGTGTTGGGACATTCAGAGCTTTCACCAAAATTCTCCACCCACCAAAGCCCCAGGAATGTCTATAAATTTGTGCAACAGCAGGTGCTTCTCATATTAGTCCAGAATTCAGTTTCCATCAAACCCTGGTTTTCTTTAAAGTCCTATTTATTATTGCTTAAAAATCACTTGAAAGTCTATGGTTGGGAAGCAATACAAAAGCATCTTTCATTATTCATTAAGGACAAGCGATGGAGGGCTTTGGGAAGGGAATAAAAAGTACACAGACTTTTCTGCATTTAAAACAATTATTTCTTATTAATAACCCTGCAGAAAGGTGCCCCGTGGAGATGTGCAGTTTGGGTGTTTTGAAGTTAAGCCTCTTGATCACAAAAGGAATTTTTCTTCCCCCGTGACACCCCTCAGCAGAGATGCTGGGAAATGTTGTGCCATTTTTATTTTTAAAAAATATTTAGATGTTTATTTTGGGGGGTGTCCCCTTTGTGAGATGGAACATAACACCCTGATAGTGGTGCAGATCAAGACCTGTCATGAGAATAAAAAGCTGCAGCTGCGGAGCAAACCTGCAGCATATTTGGGAAGGGGGTTGGGGAGCCTCGAGGTCCCTGGAGAGCTCAGGTTGGAAGGGACCCTGAGGGTCTCATTTTGAGGTGCATTTTGTCCTCAGGTCGTTGCTATGGATATCAGGGCAGGTCTCAGGAAAAACTCCTGAGGGGTTTTCCCATTGGAAGGGGAGGTCTCGCCCCTTGTCACTGGCATCCAGGTAGAGCCCAACCCACCCCTAATCTCCCTGGAGCCCGGGTATCCAGCCAGTCTTTCACAGCTTTACAGAGCCCCCCCTCTGGACTGTGATGTCCTGACTTGAATGCCAGGATGCTGTGGGAGCCAAAGCCCTTGCCAGCACCAAGGAACGTGGGGTGGGGTGGGATTCCAGGTAAGGAACCACCAATGATCCTTCTTGTCCACCTCCATCACCAGGACAATGTTCCTTGTCCACCTCATCCCAGGAAAGGGTGGGTGGGAGCTCCAGCCTGCAGAGCCTCCCCTTGCCAACACCACTGCCAGGGAAGGAGGCACTGGGAGCCCACCAGAGCATCTGTGTGGTGGAGAGCTGGTCCTAGGGTCCCACTGCTGCAGAGCCTGTCCCTGCCTCAGCTTCCCTCAGCTTGTCCTCTCCCACCCCCTCCTGCCCTGGCTGGCCTCCCTCCTTGGAGCAATGGGACAGGCCAGGCTGGAAAGGAAGTCGGGGGAACTCGGGGCCGTGTGAGGATTGTGGGTGCCAACCTGTCTGCAAAAGGGGTGTGTGGGGATCCGCCAGGCTTGGAGGGTCTGCAGGGCAAGCCCCCAAGGAGTGGCTGAGGGCACTTGGCTGGTTCAGCTGGAGAAGAGGAGGCTGAGGTCAGACCTCATCAGGGGCTGCAGCTTCCTAAGAGAGGCAGAGGAGGGGCAGCTCCAATCTCTGCTCTCTGGGAGCAGTGACAGCACCCAGGGAATGGCTGGGGCTGTGTCAGGGCAGGCTCAGGTTGGATCTCAGGGAAAGGTTCTTCCCCCCCAGGGTGGTTGGCACTGACCAGGCTCCCCAGGGCAGTGGGCACGGCCCCAAGGCTGCCAGAGCTCCAGGAGGGTTTGGACAATGCTCTGAGGGACAGGGTGGGATTGCTGGGGTGTCTGTGCAGGGCCAGGAGTTGGATGGATGATCCTGTGGGTCCCTTCCAGCTCAGCATACCCTATTCTGTGATTGTGTGAGAGCAGGGCCAAAGGCAGAGCCCCCTGCGTGGGGAGCTCCCAGGGGCCATGTGCTCCCAGGGCTCCTCCAAGGGGTCCCTGCCTGCTGAAACATCCCAAAGACAGCACATCCTCCTGTGAGACCCTTTCCTGGCTCCTAATTTGATAGTGGGACCCTGTGAAGGAGATGACAGGTCCTTTTTATTGGCCTGTTTGTCCAGGACACTGCATGTGTGGCTGTGAATCTTTCAGACATTTAACCCTCTCACCCTTCTCTCCGCATCACCCTGATTCCAATCTCAAACATTTGATTTTTGTGCTGGGAGATAGAGAAATGCCAGTGGGTTTCTTTCTTCCTTTTGTTTTTCTCTCTGTTTTTAATGAATTTTTCATTTTTTTTCCACTGGTACAGAAAGAATAACAAGGAAGCAACAGTGTCAACACAGAATTTTCTCCAAAGTCACAGCATGGCCAATCTGCAGCAGCAATAATAGATTTTATGAATCCCTCTGAGGAGAATCATCAATGAAAGGGGGGGGGAGCATCTCAAAGGCTCTGAACTTATTTGTGCTTTCCACACCACGAAGCCCTGTTGTAAGGAGCTGGTTAAAGAACAAGGGGGGAAAAAAAGAGCATTCTGTAAGAGGAGATTTCTGATAGCAGAGGAACAAGAAACACACGGGTGCTTTGAGAGGTTGCCTAAAAAGGCCGATTTCTCCTGCCTGTGTGGGAGATGGGCAGGATGCTGGGGAGGGGAGCACAGCTGGGCTGAACAGGGGGTGGAATTGGAGTGGATTTGCTGTCCTGCCAGACTCCTGCTCCAGTAATGGGTCTGCTTCCCAGTGGGAGAGCAAGGTTCTCTTTTGATATTTGTTGTTCTTTCCAGGAGGTGTTAACACCAATTTCTGAGCTCAGTGGGATGACAGAGGCGGGTGAGCAGCACTGACCTTGGATCTCACCTCTCTCAGATTTCTTTTCCTGCCCTCTCTCAAAGTCAGTCTAAAAGCAACAAAGGGATGTTGGAGGGGGGGAGGCAGGGCTCGTCCACGTTAAAGGAGAAAAGCTCAGAGGACATGATCCCAGAAAGCAGATGCTTGTAAGGTGGCCGTGCTGGATCCACACCACTGTTGTCTCAGGAAGGGTTTCCTGCTGCTTCCCTGAGTGCAGAAACACCTGTTAGGGAATCATGGAATCATGGAATAGAATCTCCTGAGCTGAAAGGAACCCCCAGGGATCATCCAGTCCAACTCCTGGCCCTGCACAGACACTCCAACAATCCCACCCTGTCCCTCAGAGTGTTGTCCAAATGCTCCTGGAGCTCTGGCAGCTTTGGGGCCGTGCCCACTGCCTTGTGTGTATCCAGGTGCCATTTCTTCCAGAAAATACACACTACATGCAGCTGCAGATGGGCTGAAAAAAAACTTTTTGCTTATTTTCTGCTGCTGTTAAAGTGAGGAAGTCAAAGATTCACTCAAACACTCCCTCCCACCTCACCAGGATAGACAGCAACTCACAGTCTGTGAGGGAGCACAAACGGGATTCTCTGCAATAAGAAAGAAAACCAATTAACATGGTGGTGAGGGGGAAGCAAATAAAGAATATTACTTCCAGGGATCATTCAAAATGAACCTCTTTGTCTGAACTGTGGTGGTTAAGCAGCCCTGGCACAGGTTGCCCAGAGAAGCTGTGGCTGCCCCTGGATCCCTGGAAGTGTCCAAGGCCAGGCTGGACGGGGCTTGGAGCAACCTGGGCTGGTGGAAGGTGTCCCTGCCCATGCAAGGTTGATGAGATGATCTTTAAGGTCCCTTCCAACCCAAACCATTTTGGGATTCTGTGATTTTCTTCCTGTAAAGTTGCTTTTGGGTCCAGAGATGCTGCCCAGCTCCAGCAGTGCCACTGTTTATCAGCTCCCAGGTGAAGGTGGCTGCTTTAAATGGCTGTCCTGAGGGAAGGGAGCAGAGCTGCTGATCCCACCAGGCAACACCTGCCCAGGAAGCTCCTCCTTGCTCAGATAGTGCCTGGGCACAAGCACCAATAAATCTGCTGCTCTCTGGGTATCAACAGCATTTCCCAGATCGACATTTCCTCTGTTTGGTTCGAGTGCTTGACAAATGAAGGAAACACGAGAACAATAAAGACTAAATCTTATCTTAATAGTCTTTCATTATTAACTGTCTCCAGGTTTATTCATCACTCAGGGACGGACAGAGTGAGCCAGACAGCACTGGTGTGAACCCAGGGGAAGCTTCTGACTTTCCCAAGCTCTCTGATTTCCAGCAGTGACATCTGGCCCTGTGGTTTGTTTCTCTTTCAATTCTGACTATGAGGAAACACTCCCCACATGCTGCTCCCAGTGTCTGATGGCTCTGGGCCTTCAGGTCCTTCTCCTGTCCATGGATCCCCCGGGATGGCATCCCCGTGGTGTGGCAGAGGCAGGGACCAGCCTCTCCCCTCTGAGCTGCCCCAGGCTGCTCCAGGGAGCAGTGGGAGCACTCCTGCTGGCCAGGGAGCAGCTGGAAAAGAAGAACATTGAAAAGCTGGACAATCCTATTCCCCATCAGCTTCTTACTGCCATTGCCATGCTCCAGGAAGGAATGTGGATGTGCCTGATGGATGCTCACAGCACTCCACTGCCTTCCTGTACCATCAGACCTGCCCAGTGAAATCTGATGTTTCAAAGGATTTGTTTCCCAGAAAAGACAACAATGTCCTGCTCACTGGCAGCTCCCAAATGGATCCAACACCATGGGAGGTGCTGAGGAGCAGGGGAAGGACCAAACACTCACCTGAATGGAAATGAGGGATGTGGGGGGCAGTGGGTGGGGGGAGGGAGGGAGGGATGTCCCAGCACAGGCAGGTGCCAAAGCTGCCCAGCAATCCTGCTCTGCTGCCACAGCCTCTGCTGAGGGCCTGCAAACAGCAGCAAAAAGAGAGAAATTCCAAGTGGCTTGGGAAGTATAAGATCAATCTCTTTGCAAACCCAGCTCCCAAACCACACAGTGTTTCTGCCACTGGAATTGTGGGATCGTTTGTCCACACCTTAATTGGTGTGTCCTTTAGCACTTCTCCCTAAAAAGCCCCAAAGGACAGTTTCTGCTGAAGTTCTCATCCTAGAATTCCCCTTCCTAGTTGGACCACATCCCCAGCCCTGCTGTCAGTGGGTGCCCAGCTGAAATCCCACTGAAATGCTTTAATTAAAACGGACATTAAGAGCTCACTCGTTCAAGCCAAAGAACATTAGGAGGAATTTAAATGAAGAGATTTTTAAATCTGTGACATTTGTTCTAATGAGAATACACTTTCTAATCCTGAGTGTCTCCTAATTCAAAACAGATTGGAAAGACTGCGAGTGAAAACAATTTTTTTCCTCCCCAAAACACGTCCTGTAATTAGTAGACCCAACAGGCAAATAACATCTGTCTTTTCCCTGCAGATTCCACGTCAGCTTGGAAGCAGGAGGTGAAAAGCAGCACGTGGGTGTACCCACACAAGTCTACATTTTGCTTTAGGACAAGTAAGGAGCTCATGGAAATCAGCCTCACGTCAACACCAGCATCAGGGGGGGAACCAATACAGAAGGTGCAGGATGGTTCTGACCCATCTAATGAAAGGGATATTGCTGCTGCCAAGGGCTGGGTGCTGAGGAGGGACAGGGAAGCACTGTGTGTGCAACAGAGGGAAAACACCCATGCAGTGACTTGCTGGAGTTTTCATCTGCAAACACCGAGATAACGAAACGTAAAATAACAGCAGAAAGAAAAGTGTGAAGCCTCAAATGAGAGTAACTTGGAGACCAAGCAAACCATTTCAGGGGGGTTTTAGGCAGATGTTAGAGAGGTGAAATACAATCCCTCCTTTTGATCTTCTGTTTTAGGGTTGGAAGAGAAGACAAGAAAACTGCAGGCTCCTTCATTTTCTATGTTCCACAAATTAAAGTCTTGCACAGTGACCTGCCTCTTTTGTTTGGGAATACTAACCCCAGCAGGAAACAGTAAGGCAGGAAACCTGCTGGGTACTACTACAACATTCTGGAAGTCCCAGTCATCCATGGTCCTTGAGGACTTTGTCCTTTTCCCAAGGTAGGACAGGCTTGACTGGACCAGCAGAAATCCTTACAATGTCAGCAGCCCACCAGTTATCCCTCTCTTCCTGCTGGGATAGCTCATCCTGAGCTCTCCTCTGTAACCACAGCAGTGGGGACCAGTCCTGGCTGGGTGGGAGCAGCACCTGCCCTGCTCCTCCTCCTCACTGCTCTGCTCCATGTCCTGTGAGCAGAGGCAGAGCAGGATTGTCCTCCCTGGGCCAGCAGGGGATTCATCAATAAGGACACAGTGTTCTGGTCCAGCCTGAGTCCACCTTCCCACCTCCTGCAGACTGGGCAGAAGTTGTTTCCAGAGCTAAAATTCACCTCTAATGGGACAGACAAAAGAATCTGGATGGAAAATCCCAAATTGTGAAGTCTGGATGGGGATGTTTGTGGCACATGTCCATCTTCAGCTCGATGCACACCATTACCTACCTTAACAAAGAGTGTGGCTGCTCACAGTCCCGTTGAAGCACCCAGAGCTCCCTGGTTGCTGTTGTGGAGTGGATGCTGGTGCCAGTGGATCCAGATGGACTGTGTTTGCTTTGCTCCTTGCTGCTCACTGTAAACACAGGAGCAGAAACGACAGCACTGTTCCCACAAACACCTACATTTAATTTGTATCAGTAACTCTGTGAGTGTCTTTGAATTCATCCCACTGAGTGCTCACTTCAGAAACATGAAACACTCTGCCTATGAGTCCAATTAAAACAACTTGGGCTTTAAAACCTGGGTATTTGTAGCCACTTTCTTGAAAGAATAATCCTGTGTTGGCATAAATGGATATAAATCAATGAAGATCAAGGGCCTGGCACCCAGTCATGCTCACTGACAACCCAGCTTAGATCTGACTCAGTAAATCATCTCAGACACTGTGGAAACACTCAGAATTGTTCTGAAATGTGTGCAAGCACACAGACAGAAAAGGCAGCCCTTATTTCAGGGGAATTAATTTGCTGGAAATGTGGAGCTCCTCAGGTTCTGGGTGAAGAATCTGCAAACAGGAAGCATTGAAAGGAATTCGCCGGTTTTGAAAATGGATCTCTTAATCCTGACTGTCCCATCTGCATCCTCAGGCAGCTCTGCTGCTGCTCTAATCTTTCCTCCTCCTCCTCCTCCTCTGACTCTTTGTCACTGGGGGTGACCCACCATGAATAAAAGATTAGGATGTGCCAGATTCAAATGAAACCTTTGCTGGAGGGGTCATTGCTCCAGCTCCAGAGCTGCAGGACAGGAAAGCTGCAGAGCCCAAGGGGTTCAGCTCCAGGGGCACCTGGAGTCACCTCCTGCTCCAGGGTGAGAAGATAAGGCTTCATCTGTGAGACCCAACAGGGCCAAGGCAACGCAGGGAAGGCTGTCAGTTTGAGGTCTGTTTTCAAAGAGATATCAGGAAATCCACGGGAAGAGAGATGAAGGCTAGAGATGATGGATAAAAGCTCAAATGGTGGCCAAAGGAAAAAAAAATGAAGGATCTAAACTTTGAATGACATGGTCCATTCTGCTCCAACCCTGCACCTGAAGGCCTGGAAGGGGTCAGGTTGTGCCAAAGTGGTGCTGGGCAGATCCTCTCCCTGGATGTCTGGAACATGCAATGGGATTTTGCTCAGTTGTTGCCATTTTGAGGACCTGTGCAGGGTTAAACTTGTTCAGCTTCAAGGGGGCAGTGAAGGGGAAGGTGCTGATCTCCTCTCTGTAGTGGTAGGACGTGTGGCAATGGAATGAAGCTGCATCAGGGGAACTTCAAATTGGACATTAGGAAGTGGTCCTTGCCCCAGAGGGTGGTCAGGCACTGGAACAGGCTCCCCAGGTCACAGCTGCCACAGTTCAGGAGCACTCAGACAAGAATCTTAATCATACAGTTTAGTTCTAGGTACACCTGTAAGGAGAGTGATGTTATGGTCTTCATGGGTCTGTCCCCTCCAGCTTGAGATAATCTGGGATTCTCTGAAATTCCCCTCCCTGAAAGCACCTGAGTGAGAAATTTGCCTCCAGGGGAAGGTGTTGAGGGGAGAGCTCTTGAGGCACCATTCTGGCCACTCCTCCTGATGGTTAATCTCACTTTTTAAACATGTGCCAGCAATTGTTCAGCCTCTCTCTGCTGCACTGCAGGGGCCTCCAAGAGCACTGCTGTCTGCTCAGAGAGCACTCACTGCTCATCACAGCCAGGTGCCTCTTGGGCCTGGACACATCCCAGACTGACAGGCCATCACAGCCCCCACCTCATGGCACTTCTCCCACCCTAAAGTCATTTCTGAGGCTCTTCTCCATCCACACTCCCCCCTTTGACAGCTTTTACACCCCCAGGTTTGGTGCTGGGTTAAGAGTTGTACCCGAACTGAACCCACCCTGACTGCTCCCCTGTTGGAACACCCGGGGATCACACTGGGAGTAGGTAAGAACTGATTTGGAACAAACTGATTTCTTATCAGCTGGAGGTCCAATTCACCACTCCTGCTGCTGTCTGATGCTTCTCTCAGGAAGCAGCTGTACAGAAACCACCGGGACAGCTCAGGGGCTGTGGTGGCACTCAAAGCAAACAGGGATGGCAGAACTAGGTCTGCTGGAGGAAGACAGAAATCAAATTCACCTTCCAGCACTCACTGCAAGTGAGGCTGATCTGCATTTCTTATACCAAGCAAAGGCTCCAGCTCAGATGCTAATTTTATCTTGCTGGCTTTGTAGCGTCCTTGATCTTCAAGAGAATTCAAAATAACATGGAGCAAATGTATAACTAAGTCATTTTAAAGAAGTAACTGCAAAGTGCATAACTCTGCTCAAGGGGAAACAGCTTCTGTGCTAAACACAGAGTATGAAATCAGATCATGCTGGGAGAATGAACAAATGGGCTCTTTACTCCTCGTCCTCACCACGGGGCTGTTGGGGCAGACCAGGGAGCTCTGTCTCCATCTGCACTGCAAACCCACCCCGAGGGGATGTGCAGGAAGGCCAAACCCTCCCACCCTGCACTCCCAGTGCCTTGTGACAGTGTGATTTGATCCCTTTGCTCAGCAGAGACAGGGAGATGGCCTTCATGGACATCAGGACACTCTGTGCCAAACAGCAGACACAGCTATTGGAAGATGCTCCTCTTCACCTCAGTGCAAACACCCAGTGCTGGGCAGGGAGGGCTGCTCCTTTCTCCCAGAGCAGGCAGACACCCCTGGGATAATCCCAGCAATCCCAGGAGGAGAGGAGTGGGGAAGCAGACAGTGTGTGCCTGCCTGGCTGGGGGCACTTGCACTGGGAGGGGCAGCACCAGCCCAGGAGAGATGGGTTTGAGTGCCTGAAGCCCTGCCAAGCTGTCAGCAGCCCCACGATCAAAGCCGGGGCTCCTCTCCCCCCGCAGAGCTCCAGCTGAGGCAGGAGTTTAGCAGGAGCTTCAGGGTTGCTGCTCTGGTCCCAGGAGCAGGATCAAACTGTGCTGAACTGGCTATCTGGGTACCTCTGCTGCAATGGCCTCCAAGGCTTTTTTGGAAACAGCAGGGGCTGGTAGAGCTGACCCTGCCAGGGAGCAGGCAGAGGTCAGCTCAGGGCACGGGCCTTCCTTGTCTCTCCCTGCAGGAAGAAGTGAGGGCTCAGACAGCAGCCTTCCCCCTCAGACACCACTTCCCTGCCACCAAGGAATACTGAACTATTCCCTGTGGAAAGCAAGGGCTTGCTTTCAGGCTGCTCTCCATGTTATGATTATCCTCACCCCAAATGTCAGGTTGCAGGTGAGTTGGTGAAGAGCCTGGTTTGCCAACCAGCAGTTTCAAACCCCTTCCCAGGAGCAGCCACAGCTCTCCCAGGGTCATACTCAAATTATTTTCTCGGTCTGTACCAGGCTGGCAGGGAGGAAGAAGGAGAGCTCTCAATGGAACAAGGAAATTTTCTTGTCTTGCACTGGTTCCAAACTCAAGAGAAGTCCCTCCTTTCCAGGTGAGAGGTGTAGGAGTGCTGGGAGCAAGGGGCAGAAAGGAGGTGACTCAAACAGCTCTGCCCCACTGAATACCACCCATTTAAATTCCTCCTCACTCTGGTCAGACAGACCTGGGCAGGAAAATGCCTTCTTTGCATCTGTGAAGCCACAGGGGTCCAGGCCAAGAGAGCTGGGGTCCATCACAGCCTCAGAGAAAGCACGGCAGGATGGGGGGCAGGCTCCAGAGAGCTCTTCTGGAGGGAGGTCACAGGAGAAGACACAGCCATTCTTTCTCACCACTCTCCCTATTCACCTCCATGCTTATTTTCAAGGCACAGGGTGGGATTCTTGGGGTGCCCTGTGCAGGGCCAGGAGTTGGACTCCATCACCCTTGTGGGTCCTTTCCAACTCAGGAGGTTCTGTGACTCCTGGAGGTTATTTGACCATTGTTCTCCCTGCTCAGCCAGCATTGAGATCTCACAGCCCCAGCACGTGTCCCTGCCCGGGCACACCCCGAGAGCTGGGGCCTTGTGAAGATGGATACAAGGAAGGATTTAACCTCATGGCACCACAACCTAATCCCCCACCCCTGCAGAGCTGAGGGGCAGCTGGAAACGTCTGTGTCACGAGTGGAACCAGGACACTGCCAGGGAGTTCACACTCTGCTCCCTGCCTCTGGTTTTTTTCTCTGGATGGAAATAAGTGAGGTGAAAAAAAAAAAAAAAAAAAACAAACCAAAAAGGCTGGAGAAGCTGCTGAATTGAAAATAAGAAAGGAGCTGAGGTGTTTGTTTCCTGTGCTTGGATTTAATACTCCTTGGGATAAAGTACTGGGAACAAGATACTCCATTCCTGAGCTCCCCGTGCCTTCCCCACTGCTCTGCTCTGGAATGTGCTCTCCTGGAAGCCCCTGGGGTGGGACCCTGCAGGCAAATGGTGAAGGTGAGCGATGGGAGCTGCTGAACTCCTCTCTTCCTTGAGCACACTTGGACTCAAATCCCTTTCTCCACCCTCTCAGTGTTTAAGTATTTCCCTTATTTTCAGAGCAGGTGCTCGTTCTCATTCTTAATGAACCTCTGCTCCCTTGTAAACAAGCCCTTTATTAGCTCCACGAGCCTGCCTTGGTTTCTATTTATACCTTTCCCATGTCAATATTTGAAAGCACACTCCCCTACGCTGCGTTCTTGCTCTGTGCCCC